CGGAAATTATCATTGCAATAAACATACAGCCACTCCTCGACTTATGATGGGGTTAGGAAACCAAATCCAGGTTGTAAGTCGAATTGGTTGTAAGTAAAAAATGCGAAGATGATACATAGAAAATCTAAAATGGGTGTCTCTTTTTCTTCTCAGCACCACAAAACTCTCACTTTAAAGCATGCCAGCCATTTTAAATGGAATTACAATTTTTTTTGTCAGTATACAGTGCAATCACAAACGCCGGGACTCGAAAATATGCAATTTAAAAAAAATTTGGTACGACTGGGGTGGTCGTATGTCTGGGTGGTCGTAAGTCGAGTAGGTCGTAAGTCGAGGAGTAGCTGTGTTTGCCAACTAGACATAATCCTGACAGCTCTGTCCTCTTGTTCAACCTTACTACTGTACAACCCATGTTGTACTGCTCCCCCATTATACTTATGTTCTTCAATTTCACTGTAATTTATGGACACACACACACACACACACACACACACACACACACACACACACACACACACACACACACACACACACACACACACACACACACACACACACACACACACACACACACACACACACACACACACACACACACACACACACACACACACACACACACACACACACACACACACACACACACACACACACACACACACACACACACACACACACACACACACACACACACACACACACACACACACACACACACACACACACACACACACACACACACACACACACACACACACACACACACACACACACACACACACACACACACACACACACACACACACACACACACACACACACACACACACACACACACACACACACACACACACACACACACACACACACACACACACACACACACACACACACACACACACACACACACACACACACACACACACACACACACACACACACACACACACACACACACACACACACACACACACACACACACACACACACACACACACACACACACACACACACACACACACACACACACACACACACACACACACACACACACACACACACACACACACACACACACACACACACACACACACACACACACACACACACACACACACACACACACACACACACACACACACACACACACACACACACACACACACACACACACACACACACACACACACACACACACACACACACACACACACACACACACACACACACACACACACACACACACACACACACACACACACACACACACACACACACACACACACACACACACACACACACACACACACACACACACACACACACACATGTGCTCCTCTCAGTCCCAGACCTCCATAAAATATCACGGTGTGAAAGAACTTACCCCCACCCATCCGAGCAAAGACTACACTCCCTACCTTTAAATCATCTCTTAAAAAATATAACAGTTTTGTCTAAGTATTAATATTTCTTGCAATACCTACTACAGCTCCTCCCCGACTTACGACCTGCCTCAGTCGTTCCAAAATGTTGTCAAATTACGTTTTTTCGAGTCCCAATGTCAGTACAGACAAAATTTTTGCTTGTAATTCACTTTAAAATGGCTGGCAAGCTTAAAGTTGAGAGTTTTGTGATGTTGAGAAGAAAAAGAGACACCCATTTTAGATTTTCTATGTATTATTTAAGCATTTTAGACTTACGACCTGGATTTGGGTCCATAACCCCGTCTAAGTCGGGGAGGAGCTGTATATTTACAATACCAGCTTTTATTGTACCATCAAAACCGTTTTATCGGAAATTATCATTGCAATAAACATACAGCCACTGCTGACTTACGATGGGGTTAGGGACCCAAATCCAGGTTGCAAGTCGAATTGGTCATAAGTAAAAAATGTGATGATACATAGAAAATCTAAAATGGGTGTCTCTTTTTCTTCTCAGCACCACAAAACTCTCACTTTAAGCATGCCAGAAATTTAAAATGGAATTACAAAATTTTTTTTTGTCAGTATACAGTGCAATCACTAACGTCGGGACTCGAAAAGATGTAATTTGAAAAAATTTGGTACGACTGGGGCGGTCGTATGTCCGGGTGGTCGTAAGTCGAGGAGTAGCTGTATTTGCCAACTAGACATAATCCTGACAGCTCTGTCCTCTTGTTCAACCTTACATCCGTACAACCCATACTGTACTGCTCCCCCATTATACTTATGTTCTTCAATTTCACTGTAATTTATGTATACTGTATAGGGTAATATATATATATATATATATATATATATATATATATATATATATATATATATATATATATATATATATATATATATATATATATATATATATATATATATATATATATATATATATATATATATATATATACTTTTACTTTTACTTTTATCCTCTTCGCCACTGATCGGCTTGTTAGCCGCTTGGGCGATCGGTCACGTCTCTTTTCCTTTATATTCTTCACCAAAAGGTCGGCTCGCTAGCCGCCCGGGCGATCGGTCACGTCTCTGTCACGCACTGTTGGCAAATACTGGGCATGTACCGGCTCCTGAATGTACCTGAACCCGCTCCAGTGTTGGTCAAGTCTTCTCTTGAAAGAGCTCACACTCGGTGCCGTCACAACACTCTCTGGTAGATTGTTCCAAGAGTTTACAACCCTCACTCCGAAAAAGTTTGCCCTCACGGTTTTCTGGACTTGCGGCTTCTTCAATCTTGAGCTGTGACCCCTTGTGGGGCGAGCGTCCGCCAGCTCCAAGTAAGGACACTCAACTGAGTAGTGCCCCCTGAGATGCTTATAAACCTCAACTAGGTCCCCCTTGCCCGTCTGTAGTATAAGCTAGGCAAGTTCAGGCGCTCCAATCTCTCAGGGTAGCTGAGGTGCCGAAGTGCAGGCACCAGTTTGGTGGCCCTCCTTTGAACATTTTCAACCAACTGACAGTCCCTAGCATATCTCGGGGACCAGATGGGGTGACAGTACTCCAGATGGGGAAGCACTTCACTCCTGAAGATCGTCACGAGGGACGGACCGTCTAGATATCTGAACGACCTTCTTATAAGACCCAATAATTTATTTGCCTGATTTACCTTCTTCTCACAATGGCCCGAGAACTTCAGCTCATTGTCAACATACACACCTAGGTCCTTCTCACACACAGTCTCAACTAGTACATTTTCTTCATCCCGTTGGGACATATGGTACGCCTCCTTACCGTTGGTACGCCCCAGGTGCATCCTCTTACACTTCGTGACATTGAATCTCAGCAGCCATTCCTTCGACCATTCCTGGAGCCCACAGAGGTCCTTCTGCAGCTCTTCACAGTCCGCTTGGTTCTTAATTTCCCGAAATAACTTGCCAACATCGGCAAACATTTGTATGGAGGAGTGTACAACGTCAGGCATATCATTTATGAAACAAACAAACAACAGCAGGCCCAATACACTACCCTGCGGTACCCCACTTGTTACAGGTACAGATGACGATTTCGTGCCATTAATCACCACACATTGCTTGCGGTCATGTAGAAAGTCTTCTATCCACGCTAGGACATTTCCCCGAATTCCGTACCCTTCCAGTTTGATTTTCAGCCTTTCGTGGGGTACACTGTCGAAAGCCTTGGCAAAATCTAGGTAAATATTGTCGATATTACCACCCCGTTCTAGAATATGGGTCCAAATATCCAATACCTTGAGCAATTGTGTCAAGCAAGAGCGCCCCGGCATAAAACCGTGTTGGCAATCTTTTACAAGGTTGTTTCGTAGTAGATGTTCCATCGCTGCATCTCTGATAATGCTCTCAAGTACCTTACATATTATGCTGGTCAGGCTCACCGGTCTATAGTTGTTCGTGGAGTGACTATCGCCCTTCTTGAAGATAGGACTCACATAAGCCACTTTCCATTCACTGGGGACCATTTGTTCATCCAGGCATTTACAAAACAGAATCTTCAGGGGCTCTGCAAGCTCGTTGCACAGCTCCCTTAGCACTCTAGGATGCACCATGTCAGGTCCAGGACTCTTATGGACCTTTAGCCTGGACAGTTTATTTCTAATACCCTCTTCTGTGAACACAATGTGGGTCAGTGCTGTGTCGAACCGTCTGTCCTCAAACGCAGGAAGGTTAGTTGCATCCTCTCTTGTGAACACTGAGGTATATTGAAGTGATAACCGTGGTAACATTATGAGATGTTCTTATTACCACCATGTTATTGTACTATTCCAGATGATACTAAATGTTACATAATATTTCCTTGAGATAAATGTATAGTATATTACTATAATCAGGTGCAGCTCAGGTTCTCAACTGGCTCAGCCATGTTAATATTGTTATTATTATCCACTCTGGATCTGTGTTTTTCTGGCTAATAAACTGTTTCAATTCAATTCAATGACCACCTCTAGTGGGTGGCCAAAAGGTTAATTTTGAGTCAAGTTTAAGCAATAACTAATCTTGACATTTGTTTTTATACCTGATGTTACACAAGTGCTTGTATACTTAACACTAACACTTTTACACTAAAACACATTCAAATATTTATACAAAACACACACACACTTTTAAACAAACACAAATGCATATAAACACACACTCTCTCTTTTATAAACATTTACATAAATGCACACTTTCAGAGGAATACACGATTGTGTATTTTAAATCTATATTCTTAATCAGCATATAAAAGAGCATCTTTGTATGAAATTTAAACAAAATCTATGCCATGCCCTCATGTACTCAAACACAAGATAAGGGGTCAGGAATTTTGATTGGGAATACTGTTACTGGATGTTTTCTTTTCTGGAAAGTGAACGATAAAATGCTTAAATTATAAAGTTAGCCGATATTCTTGAGAAAAGGCATACAGTATAAAGAGGATTTATAATTTACTGGCACAGTGTAATTCATGTTTTAAATACTACAGTACTGTACAGTACATAAACACAAGCATTAGATAACATGATGTTAAGTAACAGAATATCTGTATAAGTCTCACCTCCCACAGGTCGGAGGTGTTTCATCAGTTGCTGTTGATGGCATCACATACAAGTGTGTCCCACAGGTCAGAGGTGTTTCATCAGTTGCTGTTGATGGCATCACATACAAGTGTGTCCCACAGGTCAGAGGTGTTTCATCAGTTGCTGTTGATGGCATCACATACAAGTGTGTCCCACAGGTCAGAGGTGTTTCATCAGTTTGTTTAGTTGAGTCTTAGCTTGTCATACCGAGATGTGTTGTTGGTCCTTGAAACTTCCTGGAAATAAGAAAAATAACTATGTACTGTATAATACACAACACTGCACTGTAAAACTATTATATTATAGGCAGGGGTTATTTGACCAGTATCCGGCTTAATAACCACAGGTTATTTGACTGGGATTTAAAATAAAACAGTATTTTTGGCCACAGAAAATTCTACAAATTATTTTATTTATAATTTCCAAGTACAGGTTGTACCTCTCTAGTCCGGCAACGTCGGGACCTGACCGGTGCCGGACCATGGAAATTCACCCTTTTCCTGGATAGATAGTGACTTGTGCTTATGCCTGGAAGCACTAGCACCACTTTCTCTGCGTCATGGTCTCTTTGAAGACATATTGAAGGGTTAAATGTTGTATAGTACCTTCTCAAATTTCGTGAGTTTTTAATTCTTAATGTATTTTATTGGAACACACAAAAAAATAAATAAATAAAAATTTTGACGGCGGAAACTTAAATTTCGACGGGTTTGAACGGCCCGCCAACGTGCAGACGACGTGCATAATCGTGTAAACAGAGTCATTTCTCTTATGTACAAAAGATTCATTATTGTTTATTACTGAATGTCTTTTTTATTGTATTAATGTTTATGTGTGCAAAATGAGCAATACAATTCATTAATAATACGTAGAATATTAAAACACACGAGGAAATGACAAAGCATTGTTTTCGTTGATTACAAAACCAGTGACTGACTGGTTCTACATATAAAACTGAAGAAAATAAGACCTTGGTTGTAGCTGTAGTAAAATTAATATGGTTGTTTTAAGTAATGTTATTTAATGTTAATAAATGGAACAATAGAAGTAGCTAACGATAATGGTAAAGAAAAAGAGAGATCGCATATGTAAGTGCGCATGCGCACACGTGAAAACCTATCGTCATTACTTTACATAAGAATATGAAAGCAACACTTATTTACTGTTCATATATATTTTAATTAATGTTTCTGAATTTGTTTTTATTAAATTAATGTACGTGTGCAAAATTAACAATACAATTTATTAATAATACGTGGAATATTAGAGGAGACGAGACGGCTGCCGGCATTGTTTATGTTAAAGCTTACGAAACCAGTAACTGATTGGTTCTACATATAAAACTGAAGAAAATAAGACCCTGAGTTTAGCTGTAGTAAAATTAATGTAAAAAATTAATATGGTTGCTTGAAGTAACTGTAATGTTATTTAATGTTAATAAATGGAACAATATAAGTAGCTAACCATTAATGGTAAAAAAAAAAAAAAGTGAGACTGCTCGTATGTAAGTGTGCACATGTGAAAATATATCGTCATTACTCTACATAAGAATATGAAAGCAACACTTATTTACTGCCTCATATATATTGAAGGGTTAAATGTTGTACTCTGTATAGACAAGCAGAGAGAGAGAGAGAGAGAGAGCAACCGAACTGCCGGATATAAACAAACCTTAATTTCTCGCTGCTTTTTTTTTAAGGGGATTAGCCCACCAGGGCATAGGTCACTGACCCACATTGGGGCCTGAGGGGCAAAAATTTAATACTCCTGTAATAATAATAATAATTCAGATTAGTAAAAAAAAAAAAAAACTGCCTATCTACCTATTGGACAAACTAAAATCGTTCCGGACCACAGAATGCCGGACTATAGAGCGGTACAACCTGTAGTAGTAATTTTTAAAAAGTAAACACCCAAAAATGTTACTCGAGTACAATACTCAAGTAACATTTATTTTGTTACTTTACAACTCTGTCTAAAAGCCACAAATCATCAACCAACCAAACTTAACCTAACAAACCAAACAAACTAACCAGCCAAACTTAACCCGACCAACCAAACTTAACCTAACAAACCAAACCCAACCTAACCTAACCATCTTACAATACCTTACCTTCAAGTATGACAAAGTTTGATATATTAGGTTTGGTTTATGTTAAATATAAGACATTAACACTGAATTAAGTACGTCACCAAATTACCCAATTTCATGGTAATAAACTAATAATAAAGTTTTAGTTAGTTAAGGTAAACAAGAATAAACTATATAAATATTTTCATCATAAATAACAAAAAAATATGTGCTAAACAAACTTACTGATATAATTATTGAGTTATATAAAATGTTAACATATAATTTAGAGGTTGCTCTTACCTACTGAGGCGACGCAGGGAGGACGAGGGTTAATCTCTTATTTCACCAGGTCATCTCGCCACGGGGAGGACGAGGGATCATCTCCTCTCATTTCACCACAGGGAGGACGAGGGTTCATCTCTCATTTCACCAGGTCATCTCACCATTGCCACTTCATAATTATCACCAACAGCTTCTTCAATATCTCCTACATCATCATCATCATCATCATCAAGCCTGAAATCATAGTACCATTTAATTGATTGAAAAAGCCGAAGAATTGATGGTGTTTGCATCACAGAACTAGCCATAAATTTACCTTTAAATAGTTAATAAACACGAGCTAACGAACATAAAATCTATTAAAAAATAGAGAGTATCACCTTGAATGTTCTCTTCTTTGACGAGGCAGCGTATTGGTGCAAAAGGTAAAGGTGTAGATAACGGCTACCACCAGAAGGACTTGTCTGAATTGGTTGAAATTTTTCTACACACTAACATCATAATGGTATTATTACACTTTTGCACCGGACATTCCTACCCCTAATCTAGTATCATACAAGACGTCTAATTACAAGATAATTTTTATCTATTACATTACCGACACAAATGTATAATAACGGAGATAGAGTATCCAAAATTTTCTCTATTTTCTTCCATTAATCTTCCACCATTATCGTCTACCTCACCTCCCACACAGCGTGTCTCCTTCATAAATCATCACGCGCATGTGTTCCCGTACACGTCACGCGGCCAATCAAGAGGGGTTTTTTTTTGCAACCAATTAAAATGATTTTTGGTTTAATTAAAGGTATTTTTGGGCCAATCAAAATTGATTTTTATTTCGAGTCTCATATTTCGAAATTCAAATTCATTTCTGACCATGGAAGTCTGCGATGGGTGTCACTTCAATTATATGGAGTTAATTCATTTTTTTTTTAAAAAGAAGAAATTATAGCAATTTATCGATCTCATGGTGTTCTCCCGACCTCAGTAAAGTGTCTTAAGTGCAAGAACGAATGTAAATGTCCAGACCAACATATGAGGCATTGTGGTAACTCCAATGACGCACGAGAACCAGGCCAATAGGGTAAGAATTAGTGATTCCATCACATGGTGAGTCAGTTAGGTTAGGTTTGGTTTATGTTTTTCTAGTGTTTTCTTTTTTTCATTTTGTATTTGCTTAGCCATTATTTTTTTTTCGGAAAACGCCCCAACAACAAAAAGTTGAGAAAAAAAAACGGAAAATTTCCGACGGAAATGAAGGTCATAACCGATCTAAACACACACAAATACACTTGAAAAATTTATTTTTTGACTTCCAACAAAGTTGGGTGCGCTTATACAAATTTACTATCATATTAAACACAAAAATGGAAGCGACAATATGCAGAGAACACCTGACCTAACATACCCATAGGTTGGGTATGTTAGGTCAGGTTCTATGCATTATCGTGTTAATTTATG